AGGGTTGATTTTAAACCAGAAGCAATAGCCGCCCTTAAGTTGTAGTGCCCATCTTGTAAAGCCCTTTCGTATTCTTTTGTTCTTTTTCATTTAATATGTATTTACGACGTTGTATTTTTGGTTGAGCACTAGAATATTTGAGTTTTTTTTTTTTTTAAATTCTAATAGCAGAAGAGCAAGTATCAAGCTATTTGCCCTCTAAGAAATTCGGCATTGCTTCTCGTTTCTTCCGCCCTATTCAAAAGTAGATATTTCTGTTGTAGAACTCTTTGGAGACTTTTAGTTTAAGTTTCAGAACATTAGAAACTATTAAGATAAATGTTAATACAGTACTTGTCAAGTCCTGAGGGGAGGGAATGGAAGACAGATTGGATGGAGAAATCACATTTTCGTTATTTGGATGATTAGCGAGGAAGGTCAACAAGTTGAAGAAAAATGTCTGCAGGTTTAACTCTCAATGATCGCTATCTAATTCAAAGGAAAAAAATTGTAACTACAAAATTTTTGAAATGAAAAGCATGTTGTTCTCTCCACTTGGAAATTGTGGGAAAAGAGGGGAAAAGGACATTCATTACCTGTGCAATTGTGCAGGCACTCCAATTACCAAATTTGCCTTCTGAGTTACCATTTGGTTCTCCAGTGTGTTTTGTGCATTCTATAATATTTGAGAAATACGTCAAATTGCTCAGACTGTTAACCTGTTAAAATTATATTGTTTATGGATGACATAAAGAATAACTGCCTTAATAGAAAATTATTAACATGATTTTTCTACTATTAATTCAGACACAGAATTCATATTGAATAGTTAATGAGTTTTTAGTTTTAACTTTTTTTTTTCTGGAGTATGCCAAATAGAGTAAATACATTAGACAACATTTTAAACCTAAAATAATTAAGCCGTAATAGAAAAAGTAATACAATTTGAAGTGTGGCAACAATGGAATATCTGCTGAAGAACATGCCGTCCAAAGTCGAATAAACTAGACGTGAGCGGTGCCTTGAGTGAATTTTGGATCCTCGCACCTATACTTTCCATCTGGTCCAATTCCAAAACCTTTTGGATCAGCAAACACATTCTCCAGAAGCTGGCTTCGAGGTGGACGCGGGCTCTCATCCGCAAATTCAACGGCGTCATCAATCACCTCATCAATCTTTTTCTCTATGGCCTTTAAATCCTGCTCACTCGCTAACCTGTTCTCAATCATGTATTTCTTTAATGCAGAGATAGGATCCCTACCAGCATAGTGTGCCTTCTCAGCTGCCAGAGAAGAAACAGTAGGAGAGTTCACACATTAGAAGTTGGCAGATACAGACAATGAAAGATTGTAATGTCTTTAGGGAACACCTCTACCACAACAGAGCAGCAGCAAAGACGAGTAACAATAGGAAAGAAGAAAAGGAAGTCTTGGGTTCAAGGGGCTAGTCTCACCAATCAATGAATCAGCCTGCCTCCCATTCAAACAAACCCTCACATGTATTCCCTCGTCAGACCAAAAGAAAAATCCCTCAACAGTTTTCCCTACCAATGGCAATGCTACCTCACTTTCTTCTAGAATACGATTCCACATTTATATTCATCGTATTACAATCATTATAATACATATAGAAGCATAGGAGAGGTGGGTTCGATTAAGATGCGTGTCTGAGATGCTTACATTGACATGACCGACATGACTTGTTTTTTTTAGTTCCAGTCAAAATATGTAATACGCGATCCTATAGTTAAAATAGAATTTCAAACGAGCACAAGGGATCAAAATGTAACATATTATAGCCTCAAACAGCTGAAGCTAAGAAATTAATTGTTTTGGCTAGAGACGCATAGTTCATTACGATCTGAAATCTGGATCCGATATATACGACCAACTCACCAACATTAATTGTTCTAATAATCTAGAACCAAATGGCACTTCTTAATTCTTCCATTAACAGGATAGAGTACATTACAGCAAGCTCAACCCCTTCGAGATCCATGATTTATATTTGCTAATCAACAGATTATAAATCAGTTGACAGAGTGAGAATTATTTTTTTAACTGAGTGGGCACCCCATGTTTAAGTTTTAGTCAACAATCAGAACCAAATGCACTAAAATCAGTATACTGTCGGAAGACAAATTCCAAGGAAGCTGAAAAATTAGTAACAGTAACATATGGTAGAATATATTAAAAAATAAATATGAGGATTCTGAAGCACACTTTGCAACTAAATAATCATGAGAAATGCAAGGAAACAGAAGCGTAATTAGCTTCTAGAAAAGCTATATAGTAAAATTTAGGCAAGATAAGAAAAATAATCAAAATGCTCACCAGGGTCACGAAGCTCATCAGGATCAGCCAATGAATGTCCTCTAAATCTATAGGTCTCACATTCAACTAAAGTTGGTCCATCTCCTCTTCTAGCTCTTTCAATAGCCTCCTTAGCCACCTCCCTGACCTTCAAAACATCCATTCCATCTACATGAACCCCTGGCATTCCAAATGCCGGCCCTTTCTTCCAAATCTCAGGATCTGAAGTTGCCCTGAGATGTGACATCCCAATAGCCCACAAATTGTTTTCCACAACAAACACAATTGGCAATTTCCACAGTGCTGCCATGTTTAGGCATTCAAAGAATTGCCCATTGTTACACGTTCCATCTCCAAAAAAGGCCAATGTGACATTATCAGCATCTGCCTCTTTCAATACATCCCTTCTATACCTACTGGAAAATGCAGCCCCAGTAGCTACTGGAATCCCTTCACCAATGAATGCAAACCCACCTAGCAAATTGTGTTCTTTTGAGAACATGTGCATTGATCCACCTTGACCCCGACAACATCCAGTAGTTTTTCCAAAGAGCTCACTCATCACAGCACGAGCTGAGACCCCCTTACTCAGTGCATGAACATGGTCCCGGTAGGTGCTTACAACATAATCTTCTTTCCTCAGAAGCTTGATGAATCCAGTTGATACAGCTTCTTGGCCATTATACAAGTGGACAAAACCAAACATTTTGCCTCTATAATACATCTGGGCACACATGTCTTCAAAGGCCCTACCTAATACCATATCTTCATATAGCTCCAAGACTTCCTCTTTCGTGACAAGCTGCATACATAAATCCAAACGATAAAGAATAACCTCAAATACCATTTTTAAACGCAAGTTCCAAAGTCAGATTCAAAATATTTTGATGAAAATTGAAAGTAGTTGACAGGCTATAAAAGATATGCTGGATGAGGAGAAGGAATCTCTTCGAAACCACTTTGTTATTCTCTTGACTTAAGTTGGCTTTCAATCACGAAATACCATGAGTATAAGTATGCGCATTACGCGACCCTTTAACATCTAGCTACACGAATCACCAATCATTAATACACTATACATGAACTTGAACATTCTAGGTACAGAACGAATCTAAAAATGCCAAATTACTCACTCCACTCCACTCCACCAAGAGCTCTTCTCACATTTCATGCAAAAAAATCAAAATAGAAACAAAAAATTACACCGTATTTGAAGAATCTACATGGAAGACAACAAACAGAGAAATTTAGGAAAAATAAGAGAGACTAGACTAAAACCAATTAGATTGTTTTGCTTTGGGCGCAACATAAGAAACTAATTCGGGTTCAGTTAAGCACAATAGGTTGCAAAGCGTAGTTTAGTGCTTTATGCAACGCATTATATAGAATCCAAGCGAAACAATTGCTAGTACGCAATCGCAGAAAGCAGAAATGAAATAAAAATAAGGGTCTAAACACTACCAGATTGGCGTTTGATTTGGGCTTCTTTTGCTTGACAACATCGGAAACAGCAACGACAGCGGCTCGACGTTGGAAATTGCGCCGAGAAATCTTTCCGAGAGCATTGGAACGAATTTTGTGCATGGACCCAAGGAAAGAGGAGCTGGTCCTGAAGGAGTTAAAGGACAGAGGAGTAGGCTTATCATTGGATCTAGAAGTGGAGGAGTTGGGATGAAGGGGTTGCACGAACTTGGTTGCAGAGAAAGACATTTTGGTGGGAAGAGAGAAACCGAGAACGAGTTGGGACTCTCCAGGGAAAGCAAAGAAGACAAAGGAACAGGTTTTGTGTAAAGTGTAAACAGAAAAGGAGGGCGGAGGAAACGAGGGAAGGAGGCACAGATCGAGAGAGGAAATAACCGTCTTGAGCGGTGCAAGTGGGCCCGACGACCACTGTACTCGGAGTCTCGGACCGCTCGCTGAATTTACCGATTTAGGCTTGCGTCGTCCATTGATGTTTGTTAGACCACGGACAAATTTGCTTATTGTTCCTAGTTTTATATTGAAAAAATTATTATAAAGTTGTATATAAGGAATTTAAATACAAAAAATTATAAAATTATAAAATTATTCTGAAATTTTCTAGATAGTTTTTGGTAAACAATTTTCCAGATAGTTTTAATTATTTTGTTCAGTTATCAACTAAAAAACTCTGTTTACATACAGTGCAAGCAAATTGACAACTTGAAAAATTGCATGATATTTTAAATTAATTTTGTAAATTTTACAAGATTTTTTTTATATTTAGGTTTTTTGTATAGGACGTTAGAGTGATTTTTTTTCTTTTATATTTGATTAAATAAAAATAAAAAAAATATGAAACAGTTGCTGTATGAATATCATTTCACAGAGCGTAGATCAAAGGCTTTGTTAGAATTTTTTGGCGGAAAGTTCATCGCAATGAAAATGTGATCACTTTGCCGACTAGGCAATTGGATGTGGATAAACTCCATGTCTTTTTCTGCTTTTATCTGTTTGCTTCTGATGAATTGGCCTATATATGCCCATTGTTGTCTATTGCTATCTACATATATGGGTCCGTGTCTGCGTGTGTATAATTTTCTCCAGATTCAAGTGGCCAAAAGTCTGTTTTTTTTTTTTTTTATTGGGGAATGACTAACTATATTTAAGCTTTAAAAGACGTTCAATTTTTGTAGGCATTAATTCTCTCAGTTGTTTTATCCCATGAAACACTTAATTAAACATAGTTGGACACTTTCCAAGTTTCAAAACATTAAGAAGCTAATCCTTGCCCCAGATATAGATGACGACCTTATTATTTGGACGTTTACTGAGGAAGAGTGAGAATACAAATGCATGTCTAGTAGAAGAACATTTGTGAATGTTCCAAACTTGAAATGAATAAACTAAGCAAGAGCGGTGCCTTCACTGAAGATTGGGTCCTCGTATCTGTACCGTCCATTTACTCCAATTCCCAAACCTTTAGGATCAGCAAGCATACACATTCTCCAGAAGCTGCCTTCGTGGAGGAACAGGGCTCTCATCAGCAAACTTAACCGAGTCTTCAATCACCTCATCAACCTTCTTCTTTATGCTCTTCAACTCATCCTCACTCGCCAACTTGTTCTCAATCATATGTTTCTTCAACGCGCCTATAGGATCCCTTCTAGCATAGCGTGCCTTCTCAGCTGCCCCCGACCAACAGATCAACACACCAAGTTAACAGACACCATTAAGAAACAATGAAACAACGTAATTTAGAATACATATTATACATACCAGGGTCACGAATGTCTTCAGGATCCACCAATGAATGCTCTCTAAATCTATAGGTCTCGCATTCCACTAAACTGGGTCCCTTCCCTCTTCTAGCTCTTTGAATCGCCTCCTTAGCCGCCTCCCTGACCTTCAGAACGTCCATTCCATCCACATGAACACCTGGCATTCCGAAAGATGGCCCTTTCTTCCATATCTCAGGATCTGAGGTTGTCCTGAGATATGACGTATTGCGAGCCCACAAATTGTTCTCCACCACGAACACGAGAGGGAGTTTCCACAGAGCCGCAATGTTTAGGCATTCAAAGAACTGACCATTGTTACAAGTCCCATCTCCAAAAAAGGCCAAGGTGACATTATTATCATCATCAGAATCTGCCTCTTTCAATACCTCCTTTCTGTACTTACTGGAAAATGCAGCCCCACAAGCTACTGGAATCCCTTCACCGATGAATCCAAACCCACCAATCATATTGTGTTCTTTTGAGAATAGATGCATGGAACCACCTTGACCTCGGCAGCATCCGGTGACTTTTCCGAAGAGTTCGCTCATGATGCCTCGAGGTGGTATTCCTTTGCTTAGTGCATGAACGTGGTCACGGTAGGTGCTTATTACGTTGTCTTGTTTCTTAAGAAGCTTGATGAATCCTGTTGACACAGCTTCTTCACCAATAGACAAGTGAACAAAACCACCCGCTTTGCCTTTATCGTACATCTGGCTGCACATGCCTTCAAAGGCCCTGCCTAATACCATGTCTTCGTATAGCTCCAAGCCTTCCTCTTTCGTGACATGCTGTGCCTGTACGGTCCAAACAAGAAAGAATTAATAACCTCAAATTCCATTTTTATACACTACAAGTTTCAGAGGTAGATCCAAACTAGTTTTCATAATCTGAAATTATTTGACATATTATTAGAGAGCTGTAACATAAGGTGTAGATGGAATCTCTATGAAGTTACTTTGCTTGCTTGACACTCTCAAAGTTTACCCTATAATACTCTAAGAAATAGAATGGATATGCCCAAAATATATGTATTTAGATGCTTGTTTGTTTCGAGTTTAACACGCAGGAAGAACTTTTACATTAATATTGTAGATATCTTTTTACATCACCTCATAGAGATATGGAAATAAGGGCAATAAACGTAGAAAGGCATTTTCGTGTCGGGTTTTTTTTTTTTTAACTAACCCGAAAAGTATTGCACAAATTTATAAAAATGCTACCACCCTTTTCTATGTCTGTTTTTTTGTAAGTATAATCCACCGAGCGTAGAGAATAATCTCCCTTGAGATATTGAAAACAATTGATAGATTCCTTCTAAGGTGTTACATACACGCATGTGAATAGGCTGACATGGTTTCCATATTAATTTTGTATTAGTGAAAACGACTTTTATAACTTGGAATAAAACTACTTTCACATTACTTGAGCTCTAGATTTTGACTGAAACCAACGAGTCTTCAGATACACTTTGTAGATGTATCACAGTACAAGAATTCATAGGACTTTGAAAGTCCCACCTTAAAATTTCACAAGGGACTGTCAAATTTTGAAGAGTACGGATGGATTCATATTAACTGATCAAATTCTGTCATATGTCCAATAAAGATTAGCCTATATTCTTAATATTTTAAGCATTATTGGTGCTTTATAGGTAGAGTTAGGAATAAAAATTGAGCTTAAAAGTCTTGTTTAGATAAGGACTCAAACTTAAAAAAATTGGTATTTTTTGAAAAATCAAGCTTCTAGGCCCAGCTCTGATAGGCCCTAAAAAAAACAGCTCGAGTGGCCCTACAAGCCCCATTCTTGAAAAGATCAATGATTTTTTAAGTATTGTATTATCAAAATAATTGATGTTGGTTCTTTTGCCATTTATTTTAATATGATATTAATATATTTTTTTATTAATTTCTTAAACATGATTGCTTTATAAGATCTATTTATTAGTTTTGATTAATGTTGTACTCTATAATACACAAGTTTTTGTATTTATTGGATTTGATAAGATTGATCTAGATTGAAAATTTCTATCTTCATTTTAAAACTTAATTAAGATTCTATATCTATATTTGTATTTATTTATTTTATAAATTTTTTATTTTTTAAGGTTTTAAAAAAATAAAATGGGTTTATAGGCCCGCCCTAAGCGCTTTAAATATAAGTGATAAGCATGGTTTTCATCTTGAAGATATATCAAGTTAGCAGGTGTGAATGGAATTTGAGTAGCACTGAGGCAAGGCTGTCCAGCAGAGAGGTGGAGGAAATTCTGAAAATTAAATACCCATACCCACCATGACTGATCTGCAAGAATGAAGTAGAAACTGTTGAACACCTTTTATTCTTTTGCCCTTGGGTTAAGCGAGTTTGCTTTTGCTACTCTCTGTCGTTTCATGTTGATTTAATTTGAGCAAGGAGGCTTAAGGATTGGCTCTGCTGGGGTATATGATGAATAAGGTGGATGAGTTTAGTAGGGGTTTGATTGTGTATATCTGTTGGAAGATTTGGAAAGAAAGGTATAGGTCAGTTTTGAAGGTACAGAGGCGAATGTGAGGGAGGTTTATTATTGATAGGGTTGGGAGGCTAACGGAGGAATTTGGCTAATGCATGTTAAAAGACTTAAAATACACATATATTTAATAGGGATAAAATTAAAAATTTATTAAATTTTTAAAGAGAGTTAATAAATTTTAACATTTTTCTTACTTCTGATAAAACATGTTAAAAATTACTTGTAAATAAGACTAGAGACATATTAGTTATTTATACTTGTCCTCATTAATATATTGAAGTAAAAAATAAAACATATATTGAAGTGGCAACAATTAACAACTATTTAACCGTAACTTATAATTTCAGCCAAAGATATGGGATTTCAGAGAAAATTTCTGATTTCATAAAATTTTTATGAATTACTATATTTTTTATATTTTTCCATATTTTTATTACAAATGTTATTTTTTATTTAAATTTTTTGGAAACACTTATTATAAAATTGAGCATTTGAATGAGTATATCATTTAAAAAAAGAATGAGTATTTCATTGATTTTTTCATTCAATTTGAAATTAATAGTAATAAGACTAGTTTAACTGTTGGTTAACATTTTGTAGATTGGTTTATAATTTTACAAGATTTGAAGATCTCTTAGATCATCAATATATAATGACATCTGAAAATTAATTGAAAATATAAAAACTTATATGCACAGAACACACACATGTTTTACATATTGTTTCTTAAAAATAATATATTAGATATATGTTGTGATTTTGTTTTTCTTAATAATATTATACATAATTATCATTTAATGAGGTTGTAAATTATTTTAAAAAAATTGATGATAAAGAATATTAAAAAAAATGGTTGAATCAACAATATATACATGTGTATGCATGCATCCTCAAGGCTGGGCTGGTTACGCCCGTAAATATCTTATGGATCCGAAGTTGGGGCTGTGAAGATGAATTGTGACAGCTCTTTTATGGAGGAAAAGGGTGTGGCGTGGTCAGGGTTTGTGTGGAGAGATAGACGATACTACTTTGTTTTTATTTATACAAAAAAATTATTACTTTTTATTTATTTTTTATATAAATAAAATTATATATTTCAATACATATTTATTACATATTTTTTAAATTATCTCTTATAATTTATATTAATAAAAATAATTAATATATATTTATATTAATTAATATAAAATATTTTAATTTAATTTTTATATTTTTAAATAAAATTATTATAATTAATTAATTATTTTAAATTATGTGATACAGGTTTTTTAAAAATATATAAGAACGGCGGGAGCATTTGGGGAAGCTTTTTCTTTTCCAAGAAGAAAGGCCTATCTTTGGCCAAGACTAGGGAGTAAAGGAAGGTGACTGTGGGACTGTTGCGTGAAAATCTGGGTCAATCCATTTGCTGAAATTGATGAATTGTTAAACCAATACTGTAATCAATTTAATAATTTAATTTTTTTATAATAAGTTTTATTACTGTTCAACTACAATTTTAATTATTAAATGTCCAGTAACAAATATAAAAATCCATAATGAGCTGCTACACGGGCTTTGTTGCGCAGTGGTGCAGTGGATGGAATTGAAAGAGTTTTTTTTATATTGGTAATTTAAATAGACGAGACTTATTTGAATTAGAGTTAAAATATTATATTTTATATAAAAAAATTATATAATCAAATTTAACTTTAATATCTTTTGGCTTTAGACTTATTCAAATCTGTCTAAATACTCAAAATTTTTTAAAAATATTTCTTTATTTTTTGAGTCAATTTCAATTTTTAAGTAACTATAATAAGCATAAAATATTATTTTGACATTAAAAGAATAAAAAATTAATAACTTATCAACTTTATAATTAAATAACTTTATTACTGTTTTGTTGTATTATATGTAATTTATTCATAAATGTTTCCTTTACTTGTAAATCAGTGTTTTAACTGTTTAAATATTAATATTATAATGGTTATATATAAAATATAAATATTTTTATATATTTTAATTTAATTAAATTATTTTAATTATAATTAAGTTAACCTTAATTCAATTACAATTAGACCATTCACTTAAAATCTTTACCTCGATTGGTTCAAAACTTTTAATAACTTTTGAGTAAATTGTATTGTTTATTTTTAAAAATATAAAAAAAGTCATATAATATATATATATATATATATAATAAAACCTGTATTATGAGTAAAATGAGGTTTTTTTTCTACAATCATTTTTCTTTTTAACCCCTGCATATAAGGGATATTTATTTTAATTTATTCTTAATTTTTAATCAAGTATGACATGAATGATAACTAAATAATTATTCAAAAATATCGTTTCATTTATTATGTTTATCTAGTAATAGAATTAAAAATTCATATATGCTCGAGTTTTATTTTTAAAATTATTTTAATTTTAATTTTTTACTTTAAACTTAATTATTTTATTTTACCAAAAAAAATTTATACTTAAATGATGCATAGGACCCAACTTTTTAAAAAAATATGTGTCTTAAAATATAAAAATAAATATTAAATTATATTTTAAATATTATTTTGATATGTTTTATTGATTAAAAATAATAAAAATATAAATATTTTTTATTTTTAAAAAATATAATAATGTTCTCAAATATATGATATTTTAATATAATATGACATAAGATTTAAAAAATTAATTAATATTCATTATATTTTGTATATTTTTAAAAATATTATATTTTCATTCAAGTATTGAAGTTAAGTTAGAGTCAAATGGATTCAAACATTAAAAAATATTATTTATTGAACTTGATTTTAAATTTTTTTAGACAAATTTAATTTTTACCTGTCTAGATTCAAATTATTGATTTTAGGTTTTTTTTTTAATAATCGAGGAGATTTTGGAATTGTTGGATAATCTGTTATCCCTCCAACTGCTGTTTTTTTTTTTTTTTTTTTCCTGAGCCAACATCCCGCTCGCCGAGTTACTGACTGAGGAAGGATTGGGTCAGATTTTTGGTATGAGATTGGTATGAAAATTAATATTCATTAAATTTTTTACAGCTTCATTCATAGGTTGGACGTTGGCCTTTTTTTTTTTTTTTTTTTTGGGGCCTTTGCCAGCATTAGACAGTGTACTTGTTTTCTCACATCAATAAAATTGACTATTTTTTTCTAGCCAACAAAAAGGAAAGCAATTAGAATTAATGTTTTAAACATACTTAAACGACACTGGAATATTCATCTAACTATCAACTAAAAAACCAATATAAGATCAGATGAAAAAAAAAAAATTAATGTTGAGAGGAGCAGAAAGAGAAGCAATGCAATGGGTTACCAGTTTGGGGGTTGGATATTTGATGTTGATCTCCATGACGACAGCGGGTCGACGGTGCGGCGAGAAGTCTGAGGGACATGGTTGACACCAACATTGTTTGAGGAAACAAGAAAAGTGTTGAAACAAAGCGGTTGCGCCAACTTGGGTGCCCACAGAGACATGTTTGTGGAGAAGAGTAACAATAGATGGAGGAGTGAGGGTTATGAAGGCGGAAGATGGACTGCTGGGTTTTATAGGAAGACGACACATGCCCATTCCCCGGTTTGACATCTCCCTGCATATACGTGTCCCAATGCAATAGGATCTGTTCTTTCTATCCAAATTGCAGGACGTTCCTTGTCATGTTCACCTTCCAATAAAAATAGTCATTGCCACTCAAGTCCTTCATACAAGATATATTTAATCAACTTCATACTTCCTAAGAATTTGGTCAAAAAAAAAAATAATTCCTAAGAAAAAAACAATTAAGAAATCATAATTATATTCTCAAAATTATTAAAATATATATAACTGTTCAAATTTACTCTTTTTATTATTAGTAACCATAATAAATTGTATTTTAGGAATTCAAATGATAATAAATAAATAATGGCAAAAACTGGAAAAAAATATTAATTAGGATAAATTGGTTCACTAGCTAAAAAAATCTCGTGCCAACAAAATATGAACCAAATTTTTTAAAATTTATGGTCAGTCTACGTTGATATACAATGAGTTTATTATTGATATAAGAGGAATTTATTATTAATATATAATAGTATATCATTAAAAAATATAATAAATTAATTATAATACAAAATATAATAAATGTTAAGTTGTTTGCTTGTTTTGATATTATAACGTGGGCTCTGTTTGTAAAATCTTTTTTTTTTCTTCTTATAATGAGGACAAAAAAAACTTTTTAGGATGGAGTATTTCTTTACTCCTGTAACAAAAAATGAATTTTCCACTTTGAACTTAACCCCATTATTTGAAAAAAATTAGAAGAAGTATTTAGGAAGATTATATTTCGTGTATCTACATTAATTAACATGCAAATAATTTTAAAAAATAATAAATATCTTATATTTTGAATTAAGTTTAGCCAATAAAAACGTCAAATAAATAAAAAAAATATTAAATATTTTATATTTTATAGAAAAAGCTAACTTTTACTCATATGTGTCAACATTATGAGTGTGTTTGATTAGGGAGTTTTTTAAGGGAGGGAAAGAGCTTCCCTCGTTTGGTTAAAAAATTTTGAAGGAAAGAAACTTTCCTCCAATTTGAGATTTTTGAAAAGGAACCAAAATTTATGACTAATTTATCCTTCTCATTGCATTTATCTAAACCTTTTTCATCATCTATATTCAAGCTAATCAAGCTAGTCGTATCTCACTGTTTGCATCAACTGTGTGCCCTCTTCTCCCTCACTTTTTATATCTGTAATTTTGTTTCCTGTGCACTGTACAATCATCGCTGTGAGAACCTTCAACTTTTTGATGTCCTCTTTCAATTCTTTGTTCCATCATTTCCCATGTCCCTCAAAGCCTCGAGTACTCTGGCTGGTGATTCCTTTTCAATTTTCTATTGTCACGATATATTGACGTTTGATTATTAGAATAAACTTCTTATATTAATAAAAAATTAAAATATTAAAATTAACTTGAGAATTAACAAATAAAATAATTCAATTCTAAAATAAAAAATTGTGTAAAATTGAGATGATAATTAAGGTGTGAAATCATCTTAGCCATACAATTTGGGTTAAGGTCTAAAATTATTTTTCACAACAAATAATTAAAGAATATAAAACTTACATATAAGAGTGTAATGGTAAATTAATTAATATCTCTCCTTCAACCAAATGCAGCCTAATATCAAAGCCACAATTGTGTCATATTTCCATAAGAATCACCAGAGTAGTGTGAAGGAAAATGATAAAAAAGTCCTAAAATCATCAATTATTTTAATTTAGGTTTCAAGTGCCAAACTTTAAAAATTTATAAATTTATCTTTCAATTTTACAATTATATTATAATAAATTTGTAATTAATTTTTTAAATTTTAACGTGACTGAAGAATAAAAAATTTATTTTCTCTATTAAAATTTAAAATATAAATTACAAATCTACTATAACATAATTACAAAATTGAGAGATTGAGTTGTAAATTCTTAAAATTTAATACTTAAGACCTGATTTATATTAATTAATTTTTTTAAGGCCTCTTAGTGATTCTCCCTAGTATGAATTATTTAGAAGGTAGAACCATATAAGCATTTAACACGTGCGATTCATATCGAATATTGTAGTTTACAACAACGATAAGAGGGAATATTCACTTGCTCTTCCGCGACGTGCCACTACTGTTTTCGGTTTTAATAAAATTAAAAAAAGAAGATAAAACTTAATTGTATTAAAGATTTCTTTCTAATTTTTTTTGGCCAAAGATTTCTTTCTAATTAAAATTAACATATTTTAATTACTTTTAAGAAAACTATTTTTTTACAAAGTATTTTATATTTAGAATTATAAAATTTTTTAAGAAAATACTCTATTCAACTTAAATTATAAGATAACTTTAAAAATATTTTACTGTCCCAAAATATAACATAATTTAGCAAAAATAAAATTTCATTAATTTTTCAATATTACTTACCATGGTGAAAAAATTAAAATGATTATAATATAAAAGATTAGGTGTGTAAATTTAAATGAAGAAATTTTTTAAAAATTTATATTTTTTATTTTTTAAAAAAACTCGTTAAATATTATTATTAAATTTGTTCATACATATAATTTTATCTCATATTATTTTATAACTTAAAAAAAAAAAAAAGGATCCTATCTTACGTAAATCAAGGGTGGGTGGGAGCCAGTGGAGATTTATCGTTATGCGATGCTAAAAGGTGAACCAAACTACCCTCACATGCGCTGTCAGCTAATCAACCGCTTTTCCTCACATTCCAAAAAATAGGTAGTTGGGTCTGAGGATCAAAATAAGTTGGATAGAGTTTAAGTATTTAGATACTCTCTCTTTTTATTTAAAAATATAAAATATTTTTAATTTTTTAAAATATAATTATTATTTTTTAAAAATATTTTTATTAATAAATAATTTTATATTTATTATTGAATATCTAATATAAATAAATATAAAAAGATAGAGTTAGTTTAAAAGTAAATAACTAATTTATTGAGGAATAAAATTTAATTAAAAATGCCTTATATTTTTAAATAGAAGAAGTAAATTTGAGCCTATGTGATAAATAATTTGATCTAAAACTTGTATAAGATTTTTTTTATGATTTAAGCCTAAACCCATGCCACCTAAAACATGACCTAGCCTGAAACATATTTAAAAGATTACGTGAAAGTAAGCCTCTTGAATATGCCTACATATTAGTTTTAAATGTATTAAATATATTTTAAAATTATTATAATATATAATATACAACCTGATTTATTAATTACAATATGTAATAATTAAAAGGATTTATCAACTATAATATAATATGAAAATAAAGTAACAATATTAAGATTAATATATAAATCTAATAGATTGAAAATATAATTAAAAATAAAAAAAATTGATTGGTTACAAATTAAATGATGAAACTGATGTACTTGTAATATACTATTACATATATATAGCCAAGTCTTTGGACTTATAAGTTAGGCCTTAAAAAATAAGCTTGACTTATATAACTAAATAGGATTAATTAAAAGTTTAAATTTAGCTTGTGCCTATTTAATAAGTAAACTAGATTAGACATGAAATAGATCAAGCTGTAGATCTTTGTTAAAAGTCTGAATTATTCCTATCGCCAGTTGGATTTGGGTATTCATATTATTCTGGTGTGTAGAATTTGAAACAAATATATTTGCAAATATCAAAATTTTTAAATTTAGTATTTATAGTGATAATTTATTATACACAATAAAGATATGCGGGGAAATAAATTAGGGGACAATATATTTGTGTGTATTCAGTTTCAAATATTCCCTTTAATCTTATTTACATATCACTTATAATATATTTAATCAAAATCAAAATAAAATAAAATTCATTAATTCTTTAAAATTTAATAAATTTTCAACATTGTCTCTATTAAATATACATATTTTAAGAAGTTGTGAAACTTTTTTATTAGTAACTATATGGATTTATATTAATAACTCATTTTAAGTTCTAATAACAATTTTTAAAAATTTATGAGCATGATTGAATTTAGGGAGGATTACTCTCAAGTGCCATCTGTTTCAATTATATTAAAATCTCATTAAATGCACAAATTACTACTAAATTCCAAATCCCTTAATTGTAAATAAGTTATTTGTGCAATTACAAAAATACTTTTACATTGTTTTATTTCTTTTAACATAAAATAATGTAAATAAGTCCTAGGCCTAGCCACCGCCGGTGGTAGCTCCAGCAATTGGCGTTGGGTTAATTTTGGGAAGGATAGTCTCGGGAGGATTAGAGTCCAAGACCATATGGTTTCCAAAATAAATGTTGATCATTGGCTGCTTATACTACTTTTAACGTTCAAAATAATATAGGGAGAATGACAACTACCCTCTCTTGACCAAAATAAGGGTATTTACAACTAATTCACCGTCTACAAAAAATATTACGTGAAAACTTAATTCTTTAAAAAAAATATACACTTCTTTTATTTTATCCTCATTAAATATCTTATAAATATTCTGATAATGAAAATTCAAATGCATCATTTAAAAAAATAATAATAAATGAAGTAGGGGTATATTTGAAAAAAACAGTTATAAAAGTTATCTAATATTCTATATTTTGGATCAAAAGATATCATATATTATAGTCTAGAGAAAATATATGTTATTATCAACTAATTCACAAATCACAAAAAATGTTAGTTGAAACTTTAATTTATAAAAAAATATCAATGTCTTTTCATTTATGCTCTTTTAAGAGTTCGTAGTAACATATATATGTGTTACTATATGGTCTTTAAATATGAAGCATTTAAAGACAAGGAATAAAAAAAGTATAAATTGAAAAAATATATAAAATTTACCTAATATTTTATATTTTGAACCAAGGAATGCTTTTAGAAAGTGGTTTATATTGTGGTCTAAAGGGAGAGATTGAAGGGAACCAATTGATCCAACTTAAGTTCCAACAAATTTTAGAATATTGGCAAAGTGTCATGTGTTTTCTTTTTTTAACAAATCTAACTTATAAAGTGATTGAATTAAATATCCTTAAGTTACATATATGATTAAAATTTAAAA